CACCACTACTATGTCCGGTTGGTTGGCCATTACCAGTTTGTCAGTCTGTATCTGGAAGTCCCACAGGATTTTAGCTTGGTCATTCTGAACCACCTTTGGAGGTGTATCCCATTTTGACTTTGGGACTTCCAGCCTGTACTCGGCACAGATGTTTCTGTACACTATGCCAACCACTTGGTTATGGCATTCCATGCATGTCCTGCCTGCTAACATCTTGCACCCGGCTGTTATGTGCTGGATTGTCTGAGGGGCATCTTTGCACAGCCTGCACCTGGGGTCCTGTCTGGTATGGTAGACCCCGACCTCTATTGATCTTGTACTTACAGTAGAGCTTGTTCTTGTGCTGCCAGGATTAGTGCATCTGTGCTGTCTTTCAGTCCAGCTTTGCCCAGCCACTGGTAGGATTTTTCAATGCCAGCCACTTCTATTATTTGACGGTGGTACATACCGTGCAGAGGTTTGTCCTTCCATAAGGGTTCCTGCTCTTCCTTACCTTGTTCCTCTGGTTTCTGCTGCCTGAGGTATTCACTAAGCACATCATCACTTGGGGCATCTTCCTGATGTATTCATGGATCTTTGTTGTTTCATCTTGGATAGTGGCTCTGACACTCACTAATCCTCGGCCTCCTTCCTTCTGCTTAGTGTACAGTCTCAGGATGCTGGACTTGGGGTGAAACCCGACGTGCATTGTAAGGAGCTTCCTTGTCTTGATGTCCGTGGCCTCTATCTCCTCCTTTGGCCAGCTAATTATACCAGTGGGGTACCTGATGACCGGCAGGGCATAGATGTTAATCGCCTGGACTTTGTTCTTTCCATTCAGCTGACTTCTCAGGACTTGCCTTACTCTCTGCAGGTACTTGCTGCTTTCCTTGCGGCCTTTTCATGGTTCCTATTTGCCTGAGGGATCCCAAGGTACTTGTAGCTGTCCTCAACATCTGCTATGTTGCCTTCTGGTAGTCCAATCCCCTCAGTTCTGACTACCTTCCCTCTCCTTGTTACCATTTGACCATACTTATCCAGTCTGAATGACATTCCAATGTCCTGGCTGTAGATCCTAGTGGTGTGGATCAATGAGTCGATGTCTCATTCACTCCTGGCATACAGCTTGATGTCATCCATGTAGAGGAGGTGGCTGATGGTTGCTCCATTCCGTAGTCGGTATCTGTAACTGCTCTTGGTGATGATCTGGCTGAGGGGGTTCAGGCCTATGCAGAACAGCAGCGGGGACAGAGCATCTCCTTGGTAGATACCGCACTTGATGTTGACTTGTGCAATTGGCTTGAAGTTGGCCTCTAGGGTTGTTTTCCACATTCCCATTGAGTTCTTGATGAAGGCTCTTAGAGTCCTGTCGATGTTGTACAGTTCCAAGCATTCCAGGATCCATGTGTGAGGCATTGAGTCATAGGCTTTCTTGTAGTCAATCCAGGCAGTGCACAGGTTGGTGTGTCTAGTCTTGCAGTCTCGAGTGACTACTTTATCAACCAGTAGCTGGTGCTTTGCTCCTCTGGTTCCATCCAGTCATTAAATTTTTCTATGCTGGCTCCAGGTGCTCTTTAAATACAGCTTATTACAACATTTTTCTTTTTTTCCAAAAGTAGTTCAACAGTCACACATTCCAGTAAATTATCAACTACCCTAGACATTTTGTCTACTTTCTTATAACAAGAGTTTTTATCTATGTACAAGGCCACACCACCTCCCATCTTATTCTCTCTGTTTGTGCATACCAAGTCATAGCCATCAAGGTCAAAATCCATTCCCCTTACATTATTCATCCAAGTTTCAGAAACAGCAATTAAAGGGACTTTATTTTCCCCTTTTTCTTCTTTCATCTCTTTTGAAAGGAGACCATGACATGGACAGTGAGAAAATTCTTTTTCATTCTTGCTCTCACCCCACTTCTTCTCAAAAACCCTTTGACCTAAACAGAGTCCATTTCTCCATCTCTCTATACAGAGACCATCCAGCATCCCTGGAAGCTTCCACCCCAGACAATAAACTCACATGATCCTTTCTCTCTCTAGCACCACATCCCAAGTCCACCTCACGACTCATTTATTATTTCACCCTCTTTGTTTTTTTCTCTGTCAAATGATGCCTCCTTCTCTCATATGCTCTTCTGGAACTGTTCAGTCTCCAGCCTTGGTGGGTCTGCTCTCATGTTATTACCCTGCCACTGAGGGTACACCTTGGATGGCTCAGTGGAGAACATTCGGTTTATTCTCCTGGCTTCAACTTTTCTGGTGTACCTCTTCAGCCCGTGTGGCCAGGGCTGTGAGTCTTTGCTTTGCAGTCTCTAAGGCCTCAGGTATGGACAGTGTGTTGTACATCTTAGGTACCCCTTTGTTCATCACACCTTTCTGCAATTCCGATAGCT